AGATACAGTGTACCGACATTGCAAGATTTAACTATAAGAAGAATCATCAATGCCGAAGTAAAACGAGAAACCTTACCACTCGTGCTTGCTAACAGGATTAGGTCGCTACAGGAAGAGCAAGTAATGTTTGGGAATGATGCCCGGGACCTTAGACTAACGGTAGCATACCTGAACGCTGACAGGATTGTCCTTTACAACAGTATCATCACGCGAATCGAAGCAATACAGATATTAATCGAATGGTTTACTGACAGCCCGCTAGATCCCGATAACGACTTTCCTAGGTTAGCAACTCACGCCCTGGATATGCTTGAAGCTTTTATTAATACCGCTAATCAACTGATAAGCGATTACGAAAATATTCAACGTCGCAACGATCAACTTAGAAGGTGGTACGATAGTATTTTTTAAATTGTAATTTTTGTTTGGTGATTGTAATTATTCTTGTTCATTTATTTCAGTATTATAATAAACATCATTAAAACGTGCTTTGTTTATTTCTAGCTCCTATTTCAGAATAGTGGAGTGAGAAAGATAAACGCTATGAGTAAGAGAGAGAAAGAGATAGTGTATGACGTCACACAACAGTTTCAAATTAAACGTCCTATTTTTGAATTGCCCGCCATCCGCCATTTTGTTTTTTCCACCATTTTGTTTTAGAATAAAGGGTAATTACACATGTGTGTAATTATTTTTATTATTCCGAGAATTAATCGGCCCGCGAATTAAATTAATTAGATCAATCAAACCGCGAATTAAATTAATTAGATCAATCAAACCGCGAATAAATTAATTAGATCAATCAAACCGCGAATCAAATTAATTAGAGGAAATTCCGAGAAATCATTCGCCTTTGGCGGCCATTTTGTTTTTTCCGCCATTTTGTTTTCAATTAGAGTATAATTACCTGTGTGCAATTATTACATATGTGTAATTATCACATATGTGTAATTATTCTTGATTATACGATCAATTTAAATTAATCGATAAATTAATTAGATCAATCAAACCGCGAATTAAATTAATCGGACCACGGATTAAATTAAATAAGCCGCGAATCAAATTAATTAGAGGAAATTCCGAGAAATCAAACCGCTAATTAAATTGATTAAGCCGCGAATCAAATTAATCAAACCGCGAATCAAAGTAATCAAACAGAAATTCCGGGAAATCAAACCGCTAATTAAATTAATTAGATCAATCAAACCGCCGATTAAATTAATCAAGCCGCGAATTAAATTAATCGATGACGTCATCGCT